TTTCGTCTGAAATATTATTTTGGGAAACTACCCAGTGTTTTCCTCTAACCCGAGTGGCTTCTACTTCGTAGCCATTGGAAGTGGCAATTTTTCGTGCCAGGGTTCGCGATTCCTTCTTTTCCTCTTCTCCTGTGCACACATTTTTAGCCGTACGATACATGTTTTGATAAGTGCTTTTTTCATGTGTGAAGTGTCTTGCTCGCGTAAACTACGTGTCGGCCAGTCCCGCACATAACATCACGGTGACTGACCTTTCTGTTCAATATGGCGTCTATTTGAAAGTTTGATCTTCATTAATACTTTAACCTTCTTTTCCACCGAATAATAAAAAGTATTCTAACATAAAGTACGTCCAGGCTCTGAGGAAGGCGAAGTCGCCGAAACGTCAGCCATCGTTCAATAACATCAAAAACAACGACAACGACAACGAAGATCTATACCAACCTCGCGTCAGCTTAAGAAGATCAGTTTATAAGATCACATAAATAAATATATCAACTATCTATGCCGAGGTTCATAGAAAGTCGGTCTTTCGAGTTGTAAGCGTTAACATGTACCAAGGTGACATTGAAATATGTATGGTCTTCTCTGCAAAACTTCTGCAGGTCCATATAAAACGATTCGGCTTTGTTCCTGTCATAGCTTGATGTAAATACACGGACGACGAGGTTTGTCAAAGACGGTGGTATTGATCCACATCTCTTCAACTGTAATCGTCCGATTCGAGTTCTTATTTGTTCGAATGAATCGACGGTCATGACGAAACTCGTGTTGACGAGAAGGCCATCGCCGCCGACTCTTCTATTGTTGCATGTTGCGAGGAACAGTTTTTCTTCGGTATCATAGAGGGCGTTGAATGGGTGGTGTCTTCTCGTCTGAGCTGATCCGATGACGTCATACTTTACTCGTCTTGCCTGCTTGATCAGGTCCTCTATTGACTACCTAGATGAAAGTGTGCATGCATTGTAGGTGCAGATCATCAGCTTAGTCTTTTGCGATTTAAGCAGCCTAGAATGGCCCTGAGATTTTAGCACCCTCTCCGTGCTTGTCCTATCCAACGTTACCTTATCGGGAACTCTTTCTGAGTCAGGGGAATGAGGCCCAATTGTTTTGGCGTTTAGCGTTTGATACCCGCGTATAGCTTGCTGTGTTCTAAAGGAGGAGGCTCTGAGTATATTCAATGGTAGCTCCCAAGTGTATCGCTTAGTAGACGACTGATTTGTTGAAGGCGACTCCTTCCCGCCTCCTACATAGTTCTCTGTCGCTTTATTGTAGGTTTTTGGCCGAATTCGCTCGTTGAATACCATTCATATAAGCGATAACACATCCACGCACGTGCGCATTATAGTTATAAGCACAGAAGATATGTGTCAAAATGGCGCAGCAGAAACTGGTAGTCCATTCCTTGGATCATCCTGCGTCCCAGGGAAGCAAAGTTCGATCTTGGTTCGCGAGTCTCCTCCTATCGGCCACCTAGGGATGAGCTACGCTGCGGCGCGACAAACCGGCATGAGATCTTTCTATACATTACTAATGCCTTCAGTTGCACACGTTGAATAGGAGGGAAAATACAAATTAAGACCTGGATTTTCCAGTGCAATGCACATCTTGGTCATGTGTTTGACGATGGCCCCAAGGAGACAGGGGAGCGATACTGTATTAATAGTGTATGCATGGCGTTTGAGAAGGCTGAGTGATCGTTCTTTGTGCTATTTTTTAGAACTTTGTGAACCTGCCTAGTTGTGATGCTTCTACCCAGTCATTCTTGAGTGAGTTCTAGCTTTTTTAGAAAACGTTGTCCTTTTTCCTAAAATTGAAATATTTTCTTGTTGTTGTAGATATTCAATAAATCGCGATATTTTTTTCTGTTGTTGGTTTGTACGATTTCGATAGTGTATTCCCAGAAATTGTATCTTTATAGGTTTGTAGCTCTATATTATTATCTTTACATCTATACTTTCCATATTTATGTCTTTCAAATTTTTATATCTTGTACTGACTTTGCCGATAATATTTATTTCTTCTTATAAGACAGACCCGTGTTACGTGATAAAATTTGCACTCGTTAGAACCTTTTAGGAGTTATCTCTAAATGAAAAGAGAGGAAATTAAAAATCCACATTTAGGTCAACAGTTTGAAACGAATCATATCAGTTATTGAACGTAAACTCTTATATCATGACATGCAAGGGTGTTGGATGTGTCTAATGTGGGTGCTCGTTGAACGGGTGGACGGTAGCTCGGAGATACTTCACTTTTTTCTCTTGCCTCTTTGAACGCCCAGTTATTCAAATATGCCGAGCCATCGCTGATACAATATGACAAACGACGATAACGCCGTTCCGCATACAAAGACAATGAGCAGGAACCGATCAAGCACCATAGCGACCTGAAAGGCATCACTTTGTTTCCGGACAGAACCATTGTTCTCATTACGTCCGGTTTTTTTTTCGCATAAAATATTTTAGAATTGAAAACTACAAATATTTGGTGATCTCCCAAGACGTCTCGTATGTGAAGGAACTTGAACCAGTTGGGAAAAGATTTCTGGTGCGTTCACAAAATGTAAACGCGGTCAACGAGCGATCGTTTAAGAGTTTGAGAAGACAGTTCAAAGTGGAGCGAATTATTAATCAATCCTGGGGTTAATAGAAAGCGGATCTTGGGAATTACTAATACAGCAGTCTGCCCGTAGGGTATTATTTGCAATTATCCGGAGAATCCATTGCAATCAATCATCAACCTACGGGTTTGCCAACATCCCCTTTATCTGAGTCGTCTTCAACAAAATTTACAAAGTGTAGGACAAAAGAAAGCTCATCAATGAAGCGGAAGTCCAATGAAGTTCAGTGCGATGGATCTGACTCATACGGTTTCAAAAGTCATTGAACCGTAGAGAAACTACAAGATTACGATATGCTTCAGTTTTGTCGACGTGAAGAAGACTTTCGACTGGGTTGAGGATGAATGTGGTAGTGGAAGACGGTGGAACGAACCATCATTGGCATGAGGATAGGCGTAATGGAAGGCGGTACCATTTCGCTAAAACTATTCGGCGTCATTCTCGAGAATTTCATTAGGAAACCTCGCTGGCAGAAATGGGTACGAAAGTCGGTAGCTGATTATATTTTTTCTTGGCTGGTGAAATCTACTCCCAACGCCAAGCATCAGTCAGGCGAAATGAGCGCTAGCCAATTTCGATGGCGTATGTGAAAACATCAGTGTTCGATTGGACCTAAAGAAAGTGATGTTCATGGAAAACAGATTTGTTTCTAAAATCACGTTCACCCTGATCAGGGCAAACATAGTTGAAAGCTTCGGCTATAATGTCTGCATGGAAAACTTACTAGTCCTAAGACGAAGTAGTAGGGTTGATTGATGGGCTTGTAAAAGCCTCGAGGATGTAGTGGTGGCAATGAATTTAATGTTCCGTGAGTATCTCTACGCTTCTGTGGTTAATTCTCATTCCGAAGCTCTGACCCTTTGTCAAGAATCGGATCGGTCTCGGACACCACAGCGTGGATGTCAAAAACTACTTGGGTCGACGATGACAGCCATCGAGCCTAAAGTCCTCAGGGACTGGATTTTACAGGATCATAAATATACAGTGTAAGCATCATCGTAATGAATAGACTCTTTTTTTTTAAACGAAACCTCTGAATGCAAAAATGGTGGTTTTTATACCCTTTGATGAACCAGGTCCCTCTAGCAAGTCTATCTGCGGACAAATTCACAACGTTATGCTCAACCCCAACATCAGAAAGGACACTTTCAGCTTAAAGAAAGTACGAAGACGTCTAGATTGATTATGAATGGCATATGTATTGACATAGTAGCTTGGGAGTAACGCAGTGGTTAGTGATTCAGTCCAACAGGAGGGCGGGTGCCGCTTCGACCCCTTGCTCAACACTCTCATCCAATCCACGTAGAATCACCATAGCCTGGCTATCTTCAAGATTACGAGGAGAATCGGCTCTCCAAGCATAATGCGACATTTACAAAGAAGGCGAAATCGTTAAGTAGAACTGGAAACAACACGGGAAATGTTCGAAGACTTTTGTGGACGAGGAAACGAAGTGTGAGAAGTGCTGGAACCTGCACAGTAGATGTGATAAAGGGTAATGTAAAATAAGAGTAAAATAAAAATGGAGCTGTTTTGACTAGTGAACTATCCAGTTTTATAATTTGGGATCGTCATGGATTATACCTGAGCGCTTAGGTACCTGTATATTCTGCATTAGTGTCCCCTCACCTGTTGCCACTCCAGTTGTGTGGCGTCACGTCGGTCATGTTCGGCGACTCGCATCTCATTGCGTTCGATGGTGGCATGGACGAGATCAATGATGCGCAGGAACTCTGACTCAAAAGAATCGAGTGAGTTTGTTTCTTCTGTAGAACACAATGGTTTGTGGATCACTGCCGGTGTTGACGTAGGTTGTGGCATCGCAGAGTGTACCGGGGAAGAAAACGAAACCTAAAATTGTGTAAAAATAGGATAATGATTCTAGGCCGATTTTCTGATAAACATGTAACTTGGTAGAAGTAAAATCTCCACATCTGAATGAGGTATAACAACACTTCTACGAAGTGCCTCTTCATAAATTGATTTCATCGTTCAAGGATATTTTTCAAAGTTATTAAGTGCTGAGAAGAAGTAACGTTATAGTTCGACATTTGAGCAGCTGCTAATGCTAGGCATAAAAATTTCACAAGTCTGGCCCAAAGTTTCGACCGCGCAGGCATGGGCTTGGTTGGCCCGGGACAGAGTCAAACCGTGGCAGCGCGCCCTGTTGACCGGTATCACTACCACTACTCTACTCGCGTACCGGAAGTCATTGAATCTCGTGAATATGAACATCGCTTATTATCTCTGTCGTTGTTGTTCCATTATGGAACTGTTGTACTTTGCGTGCAGTAGATTTTGTGATGGAGATTATTTTATTTGAAGCTTGTAATCAATCGATTAATCTAAAAGTTAATTAAATTTTACTGACTGGAATGATAGTAGTTCGGTAAACAAGTTGAAGCAGTTGAAGTAGATTATTGTGCCCGTTGCTTGCGTTGTATTCGAAAACGAAGACGAAGAGTATGTGATGTCGTTGGGAATTCTACAACTGTTGTGCGGCTCAAGGTGTGGTCCATGTCGAACTGTACTCGGTTTAATGAGCTTCATGAATCTGCGCTTGAGAATTTGATGAACAATTCTCACAGCACATCCGATAACTACTTCCTGGACGGAAGCTTATGTTGAAACGAATCACTCGTAAAATATCGTCTCTTTCTGAACAACTTATCTGCGAAATCACTAGGCTTTCAACTCATTTCTGTGATAGAACGAGTAAAAATTTGGATTATAGAGCTATAACGTGTGCTTCGATCTCACCAGGTATTTGAAGCATATCCCGAACTGCAATGAAACATCAATCGTTACCCTCCTGTGCAGCGTCCTTATCATCTTGTCTTCGAGTGCTGTTAGTCTTTCACTGCTGTTCACTTTTCAGATCGTTCACCTTTATATTCTAGAATTTTGTTCCCATTCTCGAGAACACTTACATATTTCAGTAAACATAGTTATCTTCCACCAAATGATAATGGTAACTATTAAAAGGCTAAAAATACCGTCAACGAAGGTAATCGATAAAAATTGTTTTAGTTTCGATGTAAATAATATAGTTGTGATAATGTACACAAAGTCAACTAATCCTGAACTCTTACCCAATGGCCATTTGTACTGTTCTCTGGTGTTTAGCAAGGATTAGCTAGAAAAACTTCTATGAATAGTAGTTCACCTTTATTTCCACTAGTTTCAGTATTAGGAAATTGTTGATGGAAGCTTTTATAAGTTAACGACTCAATGATTTTAAAGGGATTAGATGAGTTTCTTAAGTCTTCTTGCTATTGTCGTTAAACTATCTGAAGACAGAGCCGAGACTGGGATATACTGCAGTAATTACCTGTTTTGCGATCCGTAGACTGCCGCTATGTAGCCGTACACGTGGCTTTGTTGGATTTAGATATCGATACTCTGCTCGAAATTCTGGTGAGTATTCGAAGCATCTGTAGTCATGGCGCAGATGTTCCTTCTCATCAGGGTGCTCTTTCTGGAAATGAACGAGTTTTATTATGTAGACATCCGAAATACGTGGAAGTTAGCCACCCAGTGTGTAACCATACATTCATGTCTACCTTCCCAATGGTTTACCGCCCCACTGAGGGTGGAGGTGTTCTCGGGTGTCGGCCTGCGATGTTCATGTAGGGTGGAGAGTGAAAGAGATGGGTGGGAGTGGGGGTTCATTCCACTGGCAGGGTCTCACAAGCTGAGAAAGAGTCGGACGCTTCCATCCGGAAGCCCAACTAAAAGCAAACCAATACCAGGAATCACCACCGTTCTAGTATCGGACTAGGTGGCAAATCTCACTCTGATCCACAGTGACAGCGACTGCCTAGGGTGGTGACGACCTGAGGAAGGATTCACGTCTTCCGAAATGTTTTTCTCATGAGGAAAATACGCATCCCACACTGTTAAGCTAACAATCATTTTCACTAACCTGATATAAATGCCGTACATGGTGAGTGATCGAGTGATATGGATCAATACGCACGAAAAGCACACGTGCTAGGTACCGAAACACGATCTTCTGAAGAATTGGTGGCACAGCACAACCGTGCACACCTTGATGATGTATGTTTAACTGAAAGACGGTCTTGCTGTTAGATTCTGGGCCAACGAAGGTCAATACGATATACTGATTGAAAGGCTTCTTTTTTCTTAACTCACTGTAAACACTGTCATTGCGGTAGCGAGTGAGACGAGAAAAATAGTAACAATATAATAAATTCCTGAATAATTATGTTTTAATAACACAACAGTGACATAGCTATAGTTTTTCATCTGTCATTTCCCAATGAATTGTCCCGTTCCTTGTCTTCTTTTTCACTTTTGTAGTTTTTTGAATATTTTTGAAATTCGAAGAGAACAACGAAAGTATGAATTAGTTAGATTCTTCAAGCCTAGGATAAACTGGATTTGTCACATTCGAGATTTCTATGACCGCTCAAACGTTCGAATATTCACGAGTATTCGATGTTTTTTCCCTTTTCTTGAGACGCATCGGTCATACGTTCATAGTCTGTCACACCTATGAGTGGCAAGGCTTCTGATGTTGGCGGCATTCCCTCAGCTACTAACATTAGAAATACTGTCGTTGAAAGAAGCGAGGTAATACCTGAAATATAAGCGTATCGATTGGCAAATGATATTTGGGACACCTTGGACATCGCAGGGAGTGGGGCACATACCTAATGTGACTTTTTCACCGGAATCGGATGGCATATAAAAACCAAGAAGCGCAATACCACTAATGAGCACACATGGCAGAATCAAATTGAATACCTAAACATCCATTGATACCGAGGGCTTTTTTAATTGATATAGGAATTTTTTTTTAAAGAATGGATAAGGGCCCGTGTGGCGCAGTGGTTGTGGGCTCCACTGCAGCACACGTGGAATCGATCCCTGCGCCCATGGCCCGCCAAGCCTTCCATCCCTCCGGGTTGGCAAATTGGTACCAGACTTGTCTGGGAGGATAGCAGCACTGGCTCGATATACCGGTAGGCCACCGCAAGTCATTGTAAAGGCCAGATATACATTCAATTACCTCCAACGATACTTAATAAAATCGAATGCACGGCGCATTCCTCAGGGATGAATCAACGCTGAGAGCTTTATCCTTTCATCTTTTATACGAACTTTTTTTTTAAAGAATGGATAGTCGTAAACTCACGTAGAACATTGGGCGTCGTTCAATGCTGATACGAATATTCACGAACGGATAAGGAGCATCCGGACAACAACTATACACTACAGAACTCTTTTCGGCGCTAAAATCAGTAAGACTTGTGCCACAAAGTGGTGGCCTTTGGACGCGTATTCAGGCTACGCAATTCCAATGAGTTCAATTGAAAGTTGTGAAAAATGTCGAAATATAAAAGCATCCGCTTAAAAGACACCCAAGTGGATAAAATTCATTATATCTTGCGTTGGCAGCAGTGGATTTTCGCGCATAACATTAGATTTGCTATTTATTGGGCTGGTCAAAAAACACTTAAGCGATAATTTTACTTATTTACACACTACATCACGGAGGTCCTTGCTCTGTGTTTCTCTCAGCTAGTTTTCTACCTAACGCTGCCATCAGCAATCACTCGTCAGCAGGATTGATCTGGGGAGTCCAAATCGGCAATGGAACCGGTTAAGTTTGGAATGAAAGGAATGAAATAAGTTTGTCAAATAGCTTTCCTTTCGAATTGACATATTTGGCGAACTTTATTGTTCGAGATTATCCGGATGGACACAGTGCAGTAGCGTGTACAAAACACATATTGACAGAATTTCGGAAAAGATCAATATGCATACTTATAACGTCTTTCCGTGCGCTTGTTATGAATACAAAGTGGTTTCAACAAACATCATATCTTTGTGACAAAATTAATTGCCTTCGAATTCAGGTACTAACAATTTTTAACACTAGTAACTCTTTAGATTCTCGGGGAAATGGAATCTAAAGAGTTCCTAGTGTTAAAAAAACTCTTTGGATTACCTAATTTGTAACAGATCCCATTCGGTGCTCATCATATAATTGCTTTGATCACCTAAAAATGGACTACTCAGAGAGAAAATCAGGAACTTTCCGTTAGGTTTCAGCGTTGATGCGCGAACAAACCTTTTTCTGAAATCAGCACCAGGTCGATCTTCGAGCCATCATAAGCCCAACTACCGTAGCTCAACGTACAAATCTGGCGATCGAACGGATAGTGTTTAACGTCAAGCGGACAAGATGACCTGAATATGATCAATACCTAGTCAATAGTTAGAGGGTTTTTTTTTGATAGCCAAATACAGTAATTCATTTACTGATTAGAAGACTATTTAATGATTTGCTGTGATTCAACACATAACGCTCAAGATGCATTGCATGCGATGCATGAGGAGAACAAAGTGGACGAAGTGCAGTGCATCAAATGCATTTCCTTTTCATGGTTTCGTATCGATGGCTTACTTAACACAGATATCAGACGTGACACGTGTTCGCTACACTTCATCAGTTACAAAAGAGATTTTTCCGGACTAGTTTAGTGACCTGAAATTTATCTGGGATTTAACTGTTATTTCATTTCAGTAGACATAATGAACCACGGTTGTCACATGGAATGGGGATTATCTAGCGTCTTAGTGATGGTCGAGTGACTCAAGCGGATCGCAGTGAACCATCCGCTTCTTCTTGCTGCATTCAAGAGCAGTCCAATCGATTCTGCTCGCTGTAGAGACTCATTGAGCACCACATCTTCCTTCTTGGGTTTTCGTGAATAATTCTGACCATTAGATCGGTGGTCTTCCTGCAGTCTGTTTGACATCCTGAGAAACCCAGTCACCAACTGCCCTTGTCCATCGGTTGTCATTCATACGCATTACCTGTCCGACCCACCTTATCTTCGACTGTTTGGCGTACAGAACGGCATCTTTGATTTTTAATCGTTGACGCAAGTCGGAGCTTCGGATCCCTTCCCTTACTTGCGTGACACGGGATACTTCTAGCCTCGTCCTTTCGACTGAGCATTCGATAACGCTGAGTGATCTTTCATCCTGCTTACGCATCGGCCAGGTAAGTTTGCAACACATACATTGAGGCAGGAAGAAACGTGAACACTAAAAGGTGTGCAGAGAGGCGTGTGTTTTTTGTTCTCCTCACCGCATCCACGGTACTGTTGGAAGTTCCCGGAGCCGCTCACTTCCCCTGGTCAGTTATAGGACTAAGTCGTTCATCAGATTGACTTCATTAACTGGATGAGCTTAGCTGAATCATTCGGAGATATTCGCTCCTCTGAGTGAATGGAGCATACCAAACCAATCCATTCCACATGGACAACGTCTTTGTGAAAATCAGTCGAAGAACAATCCTTCTACAGGCTTCATCAAAGTCGGCAAGCATACGTTCCGCTTGGCTAATCTTTAGTGTTATAAGAACGATATTACCTCCGAAGCGAAGGTGGTGTAATTGCCGACCATCTCCATGCCGATTTTCACTCCCATGTTGTCCCATTCCAGTGTTCGCACGATATTATCGAGAGTGGCGGTAAATAATTTTTGCGAGATGGTATCACCTTCCTAAGTCCTCTTTTGAAGTCGATGTTAATATCACTGTAAAATGGTGGTAATTTCGCTGCTAAATTTCTACGCAGCTCACGAAAAACCTTCATATACTGCGTAACGATGCTCCTGTTGTTTAGGGTTTCCATGGCTGCTTCTATCTCAACTGAGCCATAAGCATTTTTAAATCTATGAGAGCAGAAGAGAGCAGGTTTTTGTACTCTTCCGAGATACTTCAGTGAGTTTCGTTGTTGTGTGAATTTGGTCCACCGTACTGAAAGCTTTCCAGAGCCCTGCTTCCTCACACGGCTACCATTCGTCACGTTTTCTCTCAGTACTGCTAATAATGACCCGAGTGAAGAGTTTGTAGATGACAGAGAGCAAGCAGACTGGGCGGTAGTTGCCGATATCGTAGATGCCACGGTTCTTGAACAATAACACGTTCTTGTCAACCTTCCATTGAATAGGAGTTTTTCATTCTGACAACAAACGTGTGAAGTGCCGCGCCAGAGTGTTTATGAGTACTGATGTTATACTGTTCAGGTGTTCAGATCTTATCCTGTCTGGACCTGGTGTTGTTCGATTCTTCACCGACGAAATAACATGTTGGATTTCGGTGAGGAGAGCCGGTGGGACAACATATCCATCCTCCTTTATTTCATATGACGGAGGGTGAACGTGGCTACTGAAGAGATCCGAATAGTAATCGTGAACTATTTTCTCCATTGCCTTTCTCGAAGCTGTAACTTTCCCATGTGGACCTCGGATACCATTATTTTGGTTTAGTAATTGACGTAGTTTCGATGCGCTTTGCGAATGCCCTTACCAGCCTCAGCTTCGAGCATAATTGCTGCTCTTTTTTCTTTAGGATCTTTTATCTCCTGTCTGCACTATTTTCCAAGTTCTCACGTGAGTCGGTGGTTTCCTGTCGCCCTTGCGATTCCACGCTGGCGTCCTGGCTGGAGTTTTTTCTGGAGACAGGGTGACTATTGGTAACTTTCGAATCAGCTTTCGTAGTGCTAACGTGAAGATGTTTGAGCCGATCGGATTCTTCATTGGTTCTATTAGGAACGGCGTTTTCACAAAAGGCGACCAATGAACTGAATCAACCCTAGTTTAACGTACCTTTGGAACATTGTTTTTTTTTTTCCAATTTAGCGGCTTTTTCTCCTTCCCACTAAAAATAGAATCTTGCACGAGAAATGCCATGATCTGATTCCGTGTAGGGTTTTGGCGTAACAGCGACATCATTTAGGCAAAACCTTCGATTTGCTATGATGTGGTCTATACCATTATGGTACTGTCCACTAGGAGACTCTCACGTCCTGTGTTGAGATTGAGCCAGCTGGAATTGCAAGTTACCATGAATGGTCTTTGTCATCATGATAACTGCAGACAAGCGCTCACCGTGCTCTTTCCTTTCTTATTCGTGGGTACCATTGTAACGTTCTTCAGACGTTCTTCTGGACCCAATCTTGGCGTTAAAATCCCCAATGATGGTCTTGAAAAGTGGTCTTCTCTGTAGAACTTTTCCAAGCCGATATAAAACGCTTCGACATCGTCTTCTGAACAGCTTAATTTTGGCGGTTAGACGACGAAAGCTGCCAGAGCCGGAACTGATCCACATCTCTTCAACCTTAAGCTTCTGATTGTAGTTGTTATTTGTTCGAATGAATCGATTTTCATGGCCTAGCTCGTGTCTACGAGATTGCCGACGCCGCTGACTCCTCTACAGTCGCATGTCACGATGAACGGTTCTTCTCTGGTGCTATAGATGGCGTTGAATGAGCTGCTTGCTTGCATGGTCAATCATCCTATCGAGGCGTCAGATGCGAGTGTGCGTGCATTTTAAATACAGATCATCACCCTAGTCCACTTCAATTTAGGCAGCCTAGAATGGTCTTGAGATTTTACGCCTCTCCGTACTCGTTCATCCTAACGCCTCGAAGCTGAAGCACTTGCAAGACAGGGGAATCAGGCCCGTTTATTTTACTGTGTTTAGCTTTTTGATACTGACGTATAGATAGCTGAGCTCTGAACGTGGAAGCTGGATATACACTGGTATCCAGCCGAGCCCTTCCATACTAAAGGCAGACCTCATTTATTGGAGTAACTCCCAACCACTTCGCATGTCTTTCCCAGTCATTTGATAACAGGATTTCGGCAGAATGGACTCGTAGAATGCAATCCGTACAAGGGAGAACGCACACGCATGCATGAATATGTGCTCGCGAAGCTGCACCACGAACGCATGTACGGATTTGCCTTAGTAATCACAAAACACATGTCAGTGCAGTGTAGTGGAAGCAGAGAATCCATCCTCCGATTCCGCCGGCGTTTCAGGAAAGCTTAAGGTCTCTTTTGATTTTTGGTAATCCCACTACCTTGGTAGGCGCCGCGCTGCCTCGCGATGACAGATCCCTCTATGAAGGAGATCCGTCGATGGAGTGGCTAGGTGTAAAAATGCTGGTACGAAACACACCCAAATCCCCACTAAGGTGGTTGCATGCTACACCACAGTAGCACATAGAAAATAGCAGAATACATACCATAAATACCACTAGAACAATAGGGCAACGCCTATTCTACAATTCTTTCGCGTTCTCAAGCCCTCAGACCCTCCCCCCCCCCTCCCCCCAACTATCAAAACTCGTTGCATATTTCCAAAAATCAGCGATTTCGCAAAACACTTGAAATTAGGCGTTGACCAATATGACAATCACGTAAACTTAAGCAATCAACCGCCTTAACGTATGGAAAGAGGTAGAGTCGATTAGACAGCAGCTGTGAAAGGAATCACATAAAATTGTGATGCCAAATGTGAAATACACAAAATGAATGAGGCACGGAAATTCTTTCAAGAACGATTTCCCGAATGGGACACCACAGCCCTCGCTTCCACTTGAACCTAAAGGTGCTGGGCGCCATAGCTCTCGCTCTAGTGCAGTCTAGGAGTGCTAGAGTACACCGGGTTCCTCACAAAGTGAAGCGGAACGATGTTATGTGCTGCGATTTCTGCGCCCAGTATATAGGGCCATGATACCGGGCACAGACATTCTCTCTCTCAGTGAAGGCTAGCGGTTCTGGACGTCGCGGACCACGAACCAAATGAACGGCAACAATGGTACTGTGTGGTGCATTTCACGGTCACTGCCAGTGTAGGGCAATGGTGCTGGATAAAAAGGTTTCCACTTTCATTGAAAGCTGATAATGCTAGGCGCCCTCATGCATCCTCGTAGTGGACGCTGGTGTTCCTGAGCGCCATGATTCTCGCCTCTAGTGAAATGTAAAACTGCTGGCCAATATAGTGCGATGGTACTGGACACCGGGGATTCGGCACCAAATGAACGGCAACAACGGTGCTCCGTGCTGTGTTTCCCGCCCTCAGTGTCGGGCAGTGGTACAAGCTACAGACGCCACAGTTTTCGCTTTCATTGAAACGTGAGAAGGCTAGGTGCCATCGCTCACTCTTCTAGTGAATGCTGGTGATCCTGACTGCTATGGTTCTCACTTGCAGTGAAATGTAAAACTGTTGGATATCACTGTTTTCATTAAAAGCTGAAGTTTCTGCACATATCGGTTTAATGGTTATTGTTCAAGATCATTCTTCGTCCTTCACCCACCTGACGGTAATGTGTTGCTCCAGAGCGTTCGCGTTGAACGGCCACAAATTTATTAATATAGTATAAGTTATCATTTTGTATATCAGCCTAAATATCGCACTCCACTTCTGCCTCCTCCAATTCACGTGGGAACGACTTAGCTGTACTATTTCCAATATTGCAGGAGTAATCGACTCGACCAGGATTCTACGACATCCGTAAGGAATGCGAAATCCTCAAGCAGAAGTCGAAACAACATGCGAAATAGACTTGCGTAGATGAAGGATGTGAGGAAAACGAATAAAATGGAAGCAGTGCTGGGATAGGCGCAGTAGATGTGATGACTGGCCGGTCGTGTGTAAAAAAAAGCCTAGATATTTCGAGACATGTGTAAAATGAAAAAATGAGCTGACTTAAAAATAGCAACCATCGACCAACTGACGTTGCCAAGATAGTCGACGACCACATCGGTCGACATCACCGATTTTGTGTATTGTGAATCGGCGCTGAAATTGCAACGATGTAGTTTACTATAGATGTAAAAGTAATCCACACTGTTCAGTATTCGTTTATTCAATCATCTCTACTTTCAGTGATCATAAACTTAATCAATGCTTGAGTGACGACTCATCGCAGCAGGAACTTATTCTTGTGGGTATCGAACTGCGATTTAGAACACGATTCATCTCCCGGCACTACATGTGCTGAGTGCTTCGATATTTTCATGCAAAATATCACCCTAAGGTAAACCTATTCTACAGCATAAATTGCCGATTTACATTGGTTCGCTCTTTTTTGACTCTCTGGGTGTATTTCCGGATGATGCCATCGAACTCACCCTCAGTTTGGGTGATTCTTGGATATGAACGAACTGTTCTAAATAACAATACAATATCCACGAGCTTCATTACCTAGAGAAATTTCTAATGAATTGAATAAATGTTCCACGATATGTTATATCCCGGAACTTAATAGCAAAGTAGAAAAGTTCCTTGACTGAAACAAGCGATGTCTTGAAAATCTCACTTATTGTAAAGGATGACATCCGGTCGCCAAATTTTCTCATGTGGTATGTGAATTCGAGTCAAATTACCGTATAACCGCGGATCCCAGACCAATTTATAGTCAAGCCAATGCTGGTGTACCCAGGCGTTAGTGGTAAGGATCTGATTACGCTCGTCCTGAAAACCTTTCGAATCAAATACCAGTAATGATAATCACAAAACAAATAATGTTTCACCTCCGTGAATTACATTGTAGATATTCTGTTATAATCTTATCAATTATGATAAAGTGGGCTCAGTTGGATATAGGTGGGATCGAACTAAGGATGTCCATTTTCAGCCGTTCATGTTTTCATTTTTTAGGGTTTATGACTTTCTTCTATAGAGCACTGAACGTTGGCCACTTGTGGTTTTCATGCTGTATTATTTTTGCTGGTTATAAATGAAGTTAGATTGACCGAGACCTACCACCGCTTGCAGCTTGAAACAGCTCTGCACTGATGTCTCATCTCTACGATGATGAATGCAAGGAAACGAAACGGGTGGAAGAAGCACTACGGCCCGCATGTTTATGAAAGTGGATTGAGAAGCTTACAATCCAAGCGGTTCATGAACCATGTAAAATTCCGGTTAGTAGATTCATTCATGGCAACAATTTTACGACACCACATTCGTTAATGTGTCCAGGTTTTTAAAGTGTGATGGTGCTCCGATTCGTTTCTTTGACGTTTTTATTTCCACCAGAGAGGTTGAATTTAGCTGCCAGGATTTCTCTTCCGATGCATCAAACACCACAATCCATCGTTAAGTTTTCTGGCCGCTTTTCCAAACTCATAGATTAGTCGCATGAAAAACCTAGGCACTTTAAAATTTCAAACAAAAGTGGAGGAGGACCTGCATGGGGTGGTGGTGAACGCGTTACTCCCCGGAAAAGACAATAGCGCGTTCGTTCCCCGCCGCAGACACCTGCGGTCCGGGGTTCTGCAAATATCTCAGCATCCCAAGTCCGACTTTCTATTAACCTCGGCATTGATTGAATAATTCTTTCTAGTTTGTTCAGCAAACACGAGATGCTATATTTCGCTAATTTCGCCTTCGTGCACAGAATTCACATGGAAGCACACGACACACGGTCTTCACACGACATACTCAGTGGAAGACTCATAGGAAGCGGCTCTGAGAAAGGCGAAATTCACCAAAACGTCAGTTTGTACGTAAATAAAGAAATAAAATAACACCTCGTGTTTGCTGAACAGAAGTAGAAAGAATTATCTCAGCATCATTAAAAAATGGAGAATATTTTTAAAAAGTTTTAACTTAATATTTACTGCCTACTCTTTTTAACGGCAGGGTATACATTGTGAAATATAACTTCAATGATGCTGAGATAATTGCAAAACTCCGGACCGCAGGTGTATGCGGTGGGGAGCGAACGCGCTATTGTCCTTTCCGGGGAGGAGCGCGTCCACCACCACACCGCGCGGGTCCTTTCGTTTCGCCTGTCTCTCAGAACTAGCTGATCATTGAAGTTATTTTTAAAAAGGTTTTTGCTTTCAAGTGCGGCAGCGACGTCCGGAAAAAATAAATCCTAGATGTATGTTTTCCAAAATAAACAGCACGAATTCATGGTGGCCTGAAGGATGCTGCATTCTTGTTTACTTCAGGATTTCTAATAAAGTACTAGATTCCTCAGATTCAAAATTTACCATAGTCTAACACATGAGTTGACTCAGGGATAAAAAGCGTCCAGAAGTTCGGCACCTACCCTTATGGCGTTTTTCTACGACGTTAAACATTTGCGCCCATGTGTGGAAGCATATATATACATAAGTGTAACATGTCCCCAAGACGGGTGTTTTACGCAGTGATCGCAGGCACGCTTCAACACACACGTGGAATTGATCCTCGCGCCCATGGCTCACCAAGCCTTCCACCCCTCCGGGATCGGCAATTTGGTACCAGAGGCGCATCCACCAAGGATTGATCAACACCGAGAGCTTCATTTTTTATTGATTTAACACGTTCCCAGATATATTCCCAGTATTCTTCAAGTTACCACATAAACTTGTTTCTATGGCACTAGATGAGTGTTACCTCAAAAATCAGATAGCTTGCGAAATAGACCTATAGCTGTTTTTCTTTTATTATGGCGCGCTGCGGTAGCAATAAGCACACTGCAACTGTATGAGCTGGTCAACCCCTCTTCTGTTGCGGTGATACATGACTTTAAGTGGTAAATTTCGCTCACCACGTCGATGATCTGAGTCAGTGAGAAGACGAACGTGACGTTAATCGGATGGTCGTGACGAGACGCCGGTCGAACCTCCTTCTCATAACCGGCCAATAACGAGCTGTATAGATGGAGCATATCGTCCGCCACTACAAAAAGAAATTTCCTGAGTGCTTAAATTGCAGAAGAGAGCAGGAAGTTTTCGTGGCAAGAAATATTTCCTAGGTTTTATTGTGTTGCTGGTGTATTTCAATTCTTTACGCCTTAAATATTTGCGTGTAAATTGAACGCCAGCGATGAATGGATGCAAAACAAAACAATGAAATGTCATTCAAGTGATGGTGGTTCAACTAAAATGGAACAGATGATTGACATGCGCGGCTAGATTTCATTTCCACAGAAGAAATAAAGATGTTTCTATCGATGCAAGTTCTTCACGAAAAGTCTAGAAGAAGGATATGATGCTCGACCAGTCCCTAGGGCGAGCAGAACCCATTGGACTACTCTTGGACACGACTCTACTGGTGCCCGCTCGAGTCACTCGACGATCAACGAGACTACAGGTGATACAGGTGATCGATAAAACGCAGAATTCACTATTTTTCTTCGATAATGAAACACGAGGTTGATATTATAGAATTTATTACCACACAGTGACTGACGTTTCGGCGGTTTCGCCTTCTTCAGAGCCCGGAAGGGTCAAATTAATATGCAATCTACTCAGCCAAACACTTTCATAACCTTAGCAGATAAGACTTAACACAGAAATTTGCATTACCATAATAAACAGCTTCTTTTAAACACCTACCACTTTAATCTTGGCAAGTGTTCCTTTTAATTGGTGGGGAGCGGTTGCACGGAGCAATACATAAGCGAGGAATGACTTAGGTCAAGTCGTTGAATCAGCTTGAGGTATGGCGCGAGGTTACGTTTAATAACAAGACAATCCTCATTGCGGTTCGTTTTTGGATTTTTGGAATCAATATAGAATGCTTGAAGAGTTTTACGCTTCGATGTTTTGGATTCCTGTGCGAGAATAGTGACTTCTACTTCAAAATCTTCTTCGTTGTTTCTGTGTCCTATACGCTCATAGTGGAGTGTTTGGTTTCAATTTAGATTTACCGATTAGGTGTTCTTTTATGCGGACGCAGAACGGTCTACCCGTTTCGCCAATGTCATCCCCACATGCTTTGCAAAAAATTAGGTACACCGTACCCGAACCCATGCAATCACTGCCTCTACCGTTAGGGTAAATTATGCAATTTTTCCTCCAGAGGTGGTCCTCCAAATATTGAGCACAAAAGTTTTCCTTCGTCTCGCACTTCTTCCACTTGGCGAACATCTGGTTTTGTCGGCTTCGTAGACAAGTGCGTAGTATATAGTATATATAGTATCTATACTACGCACTTGTCTACGAAGCCGACAAAACCAGATGTTCGCCAAGTGGAAGAAGTGCGAGACGAAGGAAAACTTTTATGGAATTTTTCGTTGCATACAGACGGTAATGTAGGCACTTACGAACTAGCTGGCGTCTTAGAGAGTCCGATGTTACTTCTAGCACTCTTGCCGAATTCTCCAGACCGTCTCTTCTTAAGCAACGTTTTATACCTGCACTTATTTTGTATGTAATAAAGGACAAGATGAACGGAGCACTGTTTTTGCTGGAATGATTGTTTCGCGGCGTGATTTCTCCCCTGTGCCTATGACGAGGAGCTACAGTTTCGTAGCCATTCGAAATAGTCCCTACCTGCGCACGCGCTGGTTGCGGCTCGAAAAATACTTCTTACAAGCGCCCTCTTTGTGCGTGAGGGGTGCGAGAAGAGCTAATGGACCACTATGCTTTTACTACTTGGTTTTTGACACCATTTCGTAATGTGTCCGTTTTTGGATATGTTAATTTGAACTTCAGAAATGGAAACCAATTTTCTTTCGGTTTCTTCCAGGTGAATTTCATGTACTTGGACTGTTCGTTCAGTAGCTCAAGGTGCGTGTCCATCTCCTCTTGTGTAGAGCAGATGAGAAGACAATCATCTATATACCTATTGTAGAGCAATAAACGGGGATCGATTGCTAGTGCTTCCACGTTAGACATAAAGGCAATGGCAAGAGTTGGTGCCAGTCGCTGTCCCATTGCCAACCTTCTAATTTGGAAGTAATATTTCCCGGAACATTTGATGATCGAGCAGCTTATGCACACTTTCAGGAGGACGATGAGCTACCGAATCGAGAAGCCATACACTTCTATTATTTCTTCGTGTTGCTCAAGAAGATCGCGGATGGTTTGCATTGCGGGTCACGCGACAAGTTAGTGTAAAGGTAACGTCGAGCGACTCCATAACGTACGCGCTTTTGGGACGCGCGTTACGCAGACGATCCAGAAACATTCGGGTATTCGTGAGATGGACTGATATCTGGTTAGGCAACTGGATGAGAATTAGATTTATAAACCAATATATTCTATCAATGGGCCCGTCTACTCAAGTGTTAATAGGTCTAACCTTGAAGGGAGGGGTCGGTAGATGCCAGATCATCAGATGATATTAACTTATGAGTTTTGATAAGCAAGTATAAGACGGGGCGCGTTGACACTTCCATCTTAAGATGCTGAATGTCTGATGGTTTTAAACATGCTGCGCTTTCCACTTTGATCCATCCGTTGTTCAATTTTCGGCGTTGACCTTTGAATTCCTTTTCAGCTGATGAGCGATAAAGAGATGCATCTTCAAGATGTTCTTCCGTTGTCGCAACATTGTTTATTGCGTGTTCTTAAGCATTCAAGTTTGTCTTTGAGATGTTTTTACGGATTGCGTTGCCAGTCTAGTGATCGATGCACTTTTCCGTCCATACATCTACCAACAATGAAAAGTGTTTGTTGCTTACAACCAACTATAAATATCCATCCTCGTTCCGAAGAATGAAGCTGATATGTTCTTAGAAGAATCATCTCAGGGGATCCAATGGGCTCCGGCTGATAGGAGTCTCAAAGGACGCGACTTTTTCGGTTGTTCTCAGTGATCATTTATCATCGAAAACATCGCATTAACTAGATGAATAAAAGGTGGTGTCAGCTGTAAGAACGAAGCCAAACAGGTCTCGACATTGTTTTCCTTCAGTGAAATTACAATACTCACAACACATCGCGGAAAGAACTATATGTGCTGGACAAGAATCGACTAGAATCAATGCAAATCTTATGATGGTGACGACGCCGAAACGTCAGCCACAATAAAAATGGTTACGAATATTGAAAAAGTTTTGGAAGATTTATTTTTCATCGATACTGTTTTGGAGTTGTGTCAAACCTTTTCTTTCTTTGGGGTTATCATCGGCCTGGTACTTAGATTTCTTCATGCATTCCTCGAATCCTCAGAGCGAGCAATGCTCAAGACTTCACTGTTGCACGCGGGAAGGACAAATTGAGAACAGCTCGCTGGCGTCTGCTTGAATCGCTCAGAAATTTAACGTGACAAATGAATGTGATAGTCGTTGAAAACAATGATTTTGGTACAAAGGTTATATAAGGTTAACGAAAAGGACTATAGTTTTGTTAAAATGACCCGCTTCACTACAGCATTAACCAATGTCGTCAGAAGAGTCGATAAAATGGCACCTCTTATTTCTCGACGGCAATTCTGTTGGAGGTCGACCTATGTAAAATTCTTTATCTGTTATTGTTGACTTTCGTTGTTATTGTTGCTACTGCTAGCCACATTTCCAGGATTAAGTAGTGGCTCAGTTTGATGAGGCGCTGGTTGCTTCAGCGTCTTGTACCCCCGCTCGAGTTCTCTACCACGCGTAGACATCAATGTCCGTGAGAATATTACTGGAGCAGTTTTCATGTGACTAATCAATGCTGTACAATATGTTTATCCGACTTACAACGCCCGTGTGCTATTAGTGGCTCTCAACCGCAGTAACAAGATTTCCGCGTGAATTCACCATCGAGAGTTTCGTGTGGACGATGCTGCCATAGATGATAACGAGTACCGCTTGTTTGCAGTCGATTCAACAACTATCCCCAGGAATATTGCACTATGCATTTTACGGAGAACAATATGTGTTAGATGCAGTATTGTTTAGGTTAACTAATAAGACTTGTTCACTTAAATGAGTGCTAGAAATGATAGGAGCATACAAGTTAAGATAAATTTTCTCTCCATGGAGCGTGGATTCCAAACAATGTTTTCCGTTCCGGATTTTTAGGCTTGCAGATATCATTAAAAGGATAAAAGGACAAAGCTCTCGGCGTTGATCAATTCCTGAGGGATGCGCCATGCATTCGACTTCATTAAATATCGTTTGGAGGTGATTGATTGCATATTTGGCCTTTGCAATGACCCGCTGTGGCCTACCGATATATCTAGCCAGTGCTACTATCCTCCCAGACAAGTCTGGTACCAATTTCCGACCCCGGAGGGATGGAAGGCTTGGCGGGCCATGGGCGCAGACATCGATTCCACGTGCATGTCGCAGTGGCGCCTCCAACCACTGCGCCCTCGGAAACAGTAGTAGCTCATAAATACTCAGTTGTTATCCGTAATAACACAATGGAGTCTGAAAGGGTTCACGATTCATCAACTCGATTGAGAACATCCTCATTATCTCAGAACTTTGAACCCTGAATCCAGTCACATGGTAGCAAATTCACTTTGTCATCGACAAAAATCATGGACTTCTTTGTGGTGAGAAAAACAGGAGATCCTGAGACTTCGAGAAGTTCATGTACAGCACCCTTGAGTAAAACGTTATTTTATGTATGATAAGAAAGCGCTGGTGGTCAGATGTACACTCTGTTCTCTCGACCTAGGTTCCATGAAGTCCACGAGGTCTACGGAGCCGCATCCTTATGGATCCGTCTGGACTTGACAGATTGGTAGGATCCTATAAGTCACTGTGTAAGCTAAATATGTCTCCAATCGTTTGCATGATACATGATTTATGCATGGAGCACCAGTCAGCGGCTAGTCAAAGATCAACGCTCAATCTTTTTATCCTTTAGGAAATTGTACTGTAGTATTATTTAGGTTTTTTAGTGACCCGACATATTGTGCGGATTCCTGCACTTATCATACGCGAAATTCTTCGGAATTATGCCTTAGGCACTGTTTTAGCACTCTTTGGTCTTCTTTACAAACGACATTATATACTG